ACCCCCCCCCCCCCCCCCTTGAAAAAACCCTGCGTACGCCCTGTGTAAATCATGAGATTCATCACTTCTCCAAAACAAGTTGTTTTATGGACAGATTTGTAAAAATTATCAGGCCTTTTAAAATTATGTGACAAAACGTGATTTTGAGACAATGATGCAATGGTAAAGTCTTTCCAAAATGAAACCTAAGTCAGTTTCATTAGCCATTAACCCACCAAGTTGTCTACAGGCAATACAGTATTTTGTGTAAAATGCAACTAACATGAAACCATTGTATTGGATTTCCATGAACAGGTTGCCAATCTGTATATAGTTGAACAAGCACTATTTAGAATCATGCTTATAAAAATAAAGTATTTAACAAATCATAAAATTTATTTTGTATGTTCCTTGATTTTGGTTCTATCGCTCGTTTGTATGAAAGAGAATTATTTTGAGCTGTGTTAACTCTCTTTATAATGCAGTACAGATGCAGTTGTTGTTGTTGTTGTTGTGTTTTGAGTTATTGGCGATTAGTCAGTGATTTGACTATTGTCGCCAAATTACTTTACGGCACGTGTTATATCTCTCAATTTTGGATTTTTTTAAAAATACATTTATTTCGTTTTATATTTATCTATCTTTTAAGATAGTATCGTAAAATAATATCGTAAGCAAAACATTCATGGGCTTTGTTAGTGTTTCTTAACAGCTTTAAAATTTAACAGCAGTAAAATTGTATGGTAGCTGCCACAACTTAAATAATTTGCTGGAAAAGATGAGCGTATAGCGTTTATGAACCAATTCTCGGATGTAACGTAAGTCAATCTGACTGAAATGATAAATATTTCATTAGTACCGATTAGGCTTATTTATTTTGATACATGCAATACATGGGAAATATGAAACGCAAGAAAAGTAATGTTGCCATTCTTACTAATCAGATATTATAATGTATACCCTGTCAAAAAGTACGAAAAAAGAAGAAGAAAGAAAACAAACATAAAAAGATAGTCGATGTTTCTTTTAGACCATTGAAAAGTAATTGTTTTGTTGTTGCAATAAAATCATGTCATCAGCTATAGGCAAGTTAAGAAAAGTCAAAGATTCGTTTACTAAAATTCTCAAAGTTTATAAACAGATATATCTTTTTTTAAAGATTCTCCATAACTTGAAGCTTACTGGAGGTTTACCCGCTGTAATATGTGCAAGTCTGATGTCATCACTCAGGAGATGCTGATCAGGATGGGGCAGGTAGTTAGCCGTTATAGTGGCCTCTGGAAAGAAAAAGACAATTAAATTAATATACTCTTTTAGGTGATGCAATCACGTTTACCTATTAATGAAGAATTTCATCTACCCATTGCGATTAATTATAGGCAGAAACCGGTCTGCATACATGGTAGCTACTGATGAGATGGACCCTTCCCATAAAAAGAGTAATGTATAATGTTAAAGTGTTATGTGCAATCTTTATATGCAAATTTATATAAATTTATATATATATATATATATATCGTCGCACGGCTGGCAGAAGGGCGTTAGCGCGCGATCGACTCGAAAACTACTTTTCGAGTTATTCGCATTTAAAGATTTGTTTCATATTTAAACTGCTTTCCGTCCCGAAATTTGGTTTAAAACTTAAAAGACTAATAGAAATGTTAAAGCAGAACACGACAAGCCATTTTTTCCCGGAAATAAGTCAGTTTTATAAAAGTTTGAGGCGATTTAGTGCTAACGCCCTTCTGCTTAACGCATTATTGCGCATCTTCTTTCATGCTAAAGGGCGCAAGCCGCGTAACGCCCTTCTGCTTTGAGTAAAATAGATACGCTTCGGCGCGTAAAGCTTGTAAAAGGGCGTAACGCGCATGGTGTAGCCCGGATGGAGCGTGTTGTCATTCAGACTTTCTGAAATAAAAAGCAGACGCATGCAATTGTTTGTGATGATAGAATATCAAATTTGATTTTCGTTTGCTTTTGTTTTAGCATTAATTAATAGTATTAGGTTATGCTTTACGGATTTCGCTTCCAATATTTACAAAAAACTCATTAAATTTATCAGCAATTATTTTAAATCATAATGTATCACGACAATTTATTGATTATTATGCAAGGGTAATTCTTAATGCATTAACCAAGTACATCGCTTATAATATCCAAGGTATTTTTCATGTTTCCTTAAACCTATTTGGAATTTCAAATAGTAATAATTACTTTATGCTGATTTCCGGAATTTATTCCCATGATTTCGAACTCTATTATATTTCCTCTTATTCGTATCTCTATACAAAGAGGTCAATATATTCAAAGAGTAATAGAGTAAAAAATAAAATTACACTGATCACATCACTCTGCCCCATCCTGATATTTATCTTTAATCCTTCACAGAATGCAGGAAATGCATTAATTTGTTACAGAATGCCCTTTATGTCTACAACTGTATACTGTACATTGTGCTTCATATGTGATTTAAAGGGAAAGTCCACCCTGAAATTAAGTTAGTTTTAATAGGAGTAGAAAAATGAGAGAAACAAGTCAGTGAAAGTTTGAGCAAATTCCGATTAAAAATAAGGAAGTTAGGATTTTTTAAGTTGTGATCAATCAAACACAAATTGGCAACTCTATGACGTATCATGCGAGCTCAACTTCCATTTGCTCAGTACTAAAAAAATCTAAAATTTTCATTTTCCCTCAAGAAAAATTTCAACCATACATGCACCCTAAATATAATAATTGCAAATATGTTTCTATACTCCCCTGCAAGGAAAAATATATATTCCGTCATCAATAACGAAGAAAACATGAATTTATGGAATATTATGCACAAAGCAAATGAAGGAGAGCTCGTATAATAAGTCACAGAGTTGCCAATTTGTATTTGATTGATCACAACTTCAATAATTCATAACTTTCTTATTTTCATTCAGAATTTGCTCAAATTTTCACTCACCTGATTTTCTCATTATTCTGCCTCTATCGAAACAAACTTATTTTGGGGGTGGACTTTCCCTTTAAGTTTGATTGGATATTGTTGTCAATGATCAAAAGTATATTTGTATACTTTTTTGGGGGGGGGGGCACACCAAGCACTATGTACAATTTCTTCTCAATTCTTTCTCTTTCTGTCTCTCTCTCTCATGCAAACAAGAACATCCCCTCACTCTCTCTCTCTATTTCTATCGATCTCTCTGTCTATCTCTCTTTTTCTTTCTCCATTAAACACATCTCATAATCGTTTGTTAGCCCTCTTTTGCAGTTGCGTGTCTATCTTCTTGTCGCATTAGTCATTTCCATTCTAGTACATTACTCTCTCGGACACATTTTTCCCATGAACAAATGTAACTATATAAGAATAAACGCTAAATAGCACAAAGCAATCAAATGTTAAGATGAACAATTCTGTCATGGTTATGACTGAATTTATTCCTTTGCAATATAACTGGAATCCTTTTTGTACAGTTCATTTTACAATTCCATGTACAATCATTCAAAATTGATCAATCATAATGAATCATGATTAAAGATAAAAATTGGAACTTATCTGTAGCACATGCTCATGGCAGAAAGAACAACATGGTAGCTCTCAAAAGAAAGTTTTGTATTCTGCGTTGAATCTGTTCTAGCTCTAGTGAGCTTTTGTAGCATAGTTTAAAAAACTGTGCAGTAAGTTTACAAAAGAGAAAATACTTAAACAATATATCAGCATTATCAAAGGCAAATAAACAAAATTGTATGACAATAAGTGAAACTGTAGCACATGTTCATGGCAGAAATTACAACATGGTAGCTCTTAAAGAACTTTGTGTATTCTACAGTTAACGTACTGTGCAGTAAGTTAACATAAGAGAAAATACTTGAACAATATTTCAGCATTATCAAAGGCGATACAAAAAAGTATGACAATAAGTGAAACTGTAGCAGCTGTTGGGATCTGCAATACGTTTCCTGGCTCTCTTATTCTGTATTAGAATAAAAAATATAAAAGTGGTGGACAAAATATTAGTTTAACATATTCATGCTTTGAACTGTACAGAGTGCAAAATTCTATAAAAGTAAAAGTACTGGTGAAGGATGAAGGAGTCAACACTGCAGCAAGTCAATGTAAATGACTGTAACCTTGCAATCTGACTGGCATGCTTCTCTCCTTTTGCTTCTCCTCTCTTGCCTTGATTTAATGAACCAATACATTCACTCTCTCCCCTACCCCACCTTTAAACCCAGCCATCATCAAGAAATAAGGGAGTGAAAGAGAGAGAGAGAGAGAGAAAGAGAGATGGGAGGAGAAAGAAGAGAATTGCAGTACGTCTGCATGGTCATTTATCCCGAACCCCTCCATCAGAGGGAAGCAGAGCAATTATTCCATTTACTCTGTCTAAAGAGATGTACACCAGCCATTTTCTGGTACAACAAAAATACATTTATCCTTTTCAAAGAAAATTCTCCACTCCCTGGGCAGAATTTGTAACAGGCAACCATTTTAAAGCTTCAGACTTTTACCTCACATTGTTCAGGACGTTCTCCAATATCTCTGTGTAGAAGCCACTCTCTGTAAAGTACACAAGAATAAACTTTCTGACATAGAAATGTAAAACCCATTTTGAAGTAAATATTGTAGGAGAAATAAATGGTTCAAAAGTTAGCTTAAGAGGTTGTTGTTTTGATTAATGAATATTGTAGAGGTGTCTGCAACAGCATAATTCCAACAAAACTGACTTATAATTCCTAAAGACAATGCCCACTGTAAACTACAAACTCAAATTGGTGACATTTGAGACATTAATATTTTTCAGTACTACCTTCACTGTCTGCTTGGATAACTTGAAACTATGTCAACTGTCTCCTGCACTTCGATTGCTAAGGGAACAACCGTCATCAATTCCAGAACTGTGTCGATCGCTGGATGATCTTCTGAAAACCTCTCCGGAATTTGAAGTAGATGCTATGGTAGTAAAAATATGTAAAGCCAGGAATAATATTATAAAGAGAGCACTGTAATATTTTGCAATATAGTTAGCATGATACCTTCATCTTTCAGCTTTGCCGCAGTCAAAACTTAAATATACCGGTACCCATAACCAGGGGAGTGCCACTTACATTCTTTTTTGAGAACTTTTTGAACATATCCTGAAATTGTCATGGCAGCAATGACTTTAAAGTTAACGGTTTTATTTTTTTGTGATTTTAAAAAAATATCAGGGGGGGGGGGGCAGATACTTTTAACTATTGCAACATCTTCAAAAATGCAAGCAAACTAGCAGAAACAGCTTAAGGAATAATGTAACAATTATCATGGATTTATAACTTCTTTTTGACCATATCAATACTGTATAAGGGCTTTACGATAATTTATAAGGCATTTTTAGTGAAATCAACATAACGCTAGTTTAACTTACAGCATAGTTATTGTGGTTTGCACATGGTTCGTCCTCTTTGAAGTGGTGTTCACACAGGGAAACAAGACACTGGGAGCATGTACTAAACACTTCATGTAAACATATGAAATGTTGACACATTTGAACTTCAATGAGGCATGTCTATGAATAAAAAGAGAACGTTACAAAAATATAGAAAACAAAGAAAAACTTGAATATCACTTCATCAACTATCTCAGTCTGGTTTATTAATAGGACTAAATAACTAATATCATCGGTGGGGTGACAAAACCTTGTATCTCAAAAATCATGAATTTTCAGGAGAACGAAAAAACTTTCCTGTCTCAACAAATTTATTGCTGTGACACCGTCTTTTCTTTTTAAAACTGGAATATTTATACAATTTGTAATGTCATTGTTGAAATACAGTAAAATAATAGGTTTTATATTTAAAAGTGAGTTACAAGGTTTTTGCGTTATCTACATTGAGATACAAGTTTTTAGTTTTTATTCAAATTGAGATACGAGTTCTTACTTTCAACTCTGAATGAATTACGAGTATTTGGTTGAATAAGTTACGAGGATTTGAATACACTACTTTGGTACTGTTAGGCCGTGTGTGAGTTACGAGAAAAAGGGATTACGTATCTTATGTTACGAGGTTTTGTCAGTGCAGCTTCAAAGGGGGTTAAAGTTACGAGGTTTAGTTTAAGGGTGTTTGTGTGGAATTTGTAAAAAAACAGAGAAGGCGTTCCATGGATTTATCAGGTGGTGTCGTAGGCCATTAGGTACACAAATTGAGATACAAGGTTTTGTCACCCCACTGACGATATATTTAACTTTACTAAATTGAAAATTTGATGAAAACTTTTTTCAAAAATGACACTTACTGCATATGAATAAAAGCTAACAATGATCATCAAACAATTTTGGAAAGTATGTAAGCCAACAATGTTTCTTCGTGACATTACTTTTCATTGCTTTACATCTCCATCATAAAGCCTACCGACACTCGGTTAATCTCGTATAGGTCCATGATGTACAATGAAAATTGTTCAGAAATATTCATTTAGAAATCATGATACTGTATAGCATTTCAGTTCAATGATTGCTGTCATATTGTTATCAAACCAAACAGAATAGTATGTAGGCCAACACTGTTTCATCAATAGTATCATACATTACCTGTCATTGTGACCCGACATCTCCAACGTCAAGCCTTGGTTGATCTGGTAGAGGTCCATGGTCTACAATGAAAATAATTCAGAAATATTCATTTAGAAATCATGATACTGTCAGGGGCGTCGCTAGACCTTCTTCAGTGGGGGGGGGGGGGGGGGGGGTGTAGAGGCCAACGATTACCGACAAAACTAGCCACCAATTACCGACAAAATTAAATGTCCCAATATCTACAAATTTAACCCTATAAACCTGGGGTCAAAATCTAAATTGTTTTTCATATGAACTATCTATAGTACTTGTGTATGCGCAAATGGTCATTTTCATCGACGACATAAATATACGAAATTTCGTCAACTAATTCGGTGGTCACATCCCGCCGTACTTGCAAGTGTGTGCTGTCTACGTGCAAAAACGTGTGCAAAATTTGGGTATCGGTACGTGGTGAGTACCGCCTCCGTACGGATTTGGGAGCACGCAGACACACCGTAGCACTTTTTAGGGAGGGGCGGTAGTGGGCAAGCGTATCATTTTTAATTGGGGGTGGGTGATACGCCTTAGAAAGCTTAGACGTTTCCTTAAATTATTAAGAAAATATGACTATTTACTGTACCATCCTCGACTGTTAATCTGTGTCTGAATTCAGTTTCTCCACCTTCCGCGGAAGCTTTGACGTTTCATTAAATTATGAGAAAAGCAGACGATTCGGTGTACTGTTCTCGACTCTTAATCCTTATCTGAATTCAGTTCTCCCCCTCCCGCGCGAAGCGCCGAAATTTTGATGTTTCATTTAATTATTAGAGAAAGTAGACGATTCGTTGATATGCTCGACTCTTAATCCTTGTTTGAATGAAGTTTCCCCCGCTCGCGTGAAGCTTGGTAGTTTTGAAGTTTCATTAAATTATTAGAGAAAGAAGACGAATAGTTGGGCGTTTTTTACTCTTAATAAGCCCTAATTGTCTGAATTCAGTTTCCTCCTTTAACGCGAAGCGCGAAAGCTTTGACATTTCCTTAAATTAATAGAGAAAGCAGACGATTTGTTGTACCCGGCGTTTGCGACTCTTAATCCTTATCTGAATTCAGTTTCAGTTTTTTACTCTTAATAAGCCCTAATTGTCTGAATTCAGTTTCCTCCTTTAACGCGAAGCGCGAAAGCTTAGACGTTCCCTTAACTTTTTAGAGAAAGCAGACGATTTGTTGTACCGTTTTCTACTCTTTATAAGCCCTATTTGTCTGAATTCAGTTTCCCACTCTCGCGCGAAGCGCGGAAGCTTTGACATTTCCTTAAAGACCGTCAATACTACTGGGCCAGAAGGGATTAGACCACACAGCGAGGTCACTTAGAGGTGGCTATTTCATTAACTCTCAACTAACATAAGAAAAAGAGGATCATGGGGGACCAACAGGCACCGATTGGGGAAGTTTTCTATAAAGAGGGAGCAAGTAGCTACAGGTAGGACAGTGGGGCTTTACATTATTAGATAAAGCAGACAATTTGTTGTACCGTTCACGACTCTTAACCCTAATTTGTCTGAAATCAGTTTCCCTCCTCCTGCGCTTTCGCGCGGAAGTTTTGACGTTTCCTTAAATTATGAGAAAAGCAGACGATTCGTTGTACTATTCTCGACTCTTAATCCTTTTCTAAATTTGGTTGTCCCCCCTCCCGCGCAAATCGCGGAAGCTTAGACGTTTCCTTAAATTATTAGATAAAGAGGACGATTCGTTCTACCGTTCTCGACTTGTCTAAATTAAGTTTTCCCTCTCGCGCAAAGCGCAGAATTTTTGGCGTTTCATCAAAATATAGAGAAAGGAAGACGATTCGTTGTACTATTGCTGACTCTTTATCCTTGTTTGAATTTAGTTTCCCCGAAAATTTTAAACCTCTGATTTCTTTAGCTGATATTATAGGAAAGTGAACTTCTAGAAAATACAAGTTTTTGTAGTCGTAGTCACTCTCGAAGTCATCGCAGCGGATAAAAAGTCACATTTCGTAGAGAAAAAAACTTGTAGCCGACCGACAATATAAACCTCACCGACTTCAAACTTCTGCATTGATATAGTACACGAGGATCGAGCAAGAATACCGACACAGCTGACCCGACACAGTAACATATTTACTCATGTCTTTCTTGCTCCCTCGACGAGACGACTCCACCCAACAACCCCCTCTTTCTTTTACTCCCACTCCTCCTCTCTCAGGCTCTTATCTCCCCTCTCTCTCCTCTCTTTCACCCGTGTTTCTTTTGTTTCCCCCTTTTTTGTTTGTTTCTGTCTTCTCCTTCTTTTCTCTTTTTTCCTCTCCTCCCTTTTTCTTTTTTCTCTTTCTTTCTTCTCTTTTTTCCCTTTCTTTCCTCTCTTTTCCTTTTCTTGTTTTTCTTTTCTTTCCCTCACTTTTTTCCCCTCCCACTTTTCTCTTTTTTCACGAGGGCAGCGCAATTTTACCGACAATATCCTGACAGGTGGGGGGGGGGGGGTGTCGCGTCCCCCCCCCCCCTTTGGAGACGCCCCTGGATACTGTATAGCATTTCAGTTCAATGATTGCTGTCATATTGTTATCAAACCAAAAAGAATAGTATGTAGGCCAACACTGTTTCATCAATAGTATCATACATTACCTGTCATTCTGACACCGACACCGACATCTCCAACGTCAAGCCTTGGTTGATCTGGTATGCTGTCATCATCACTTTCCTCAGACTCATCATCCACTGACAGGACAACTCCCTCCCATCTCCTGCCTTTCCAAGGCATGAAGACTTTTGTCCCTTTTATTGGAATACAGGGACATTGAATCTATCTCCATACACTACCACGTTTTTTGGAGCCATCTTTTTTCCACTGAACAAGCAATTCTCTTGTTGGCTCCATGCTGCAGCCTACCTGTGCAAATCCTGACAAAGTGAGGGAAACAAAAGGGTTACATTAATTTGACTGAAAGTAGATCTAATCCAACTTACAAGCTACTTTACAATTGACCGTCCCCAATACTTGTAGCGGAAAGTAGAAACTTGAGTTCTAGACATGCAACTATCATTTGAGATTGCCCTTGATTAAATTTGAACAAAGCCACTAAAAGACAAAGGTATCAAAATTCAAACCATTCTCCTTTCATATCTGTAGACTAGACTCTACTATCATTTTTGCAAATTTAATTTGAACAATAAAAAGTATTAGACCTCTAGAGTCTAGAATCTGCTTGCACTGTTGCAATTGGTATAATAATACCTGAATACGGTATACTAATAACAATCTGGCATTTATTTAACTAATTTTGTAGATCTACGCTAAGCATGCTTTCAAATTTCAATCCCTACCACTGTCTTTACAAATTGTTGTCTTGTCTCGTCTTTCCATGAGCGAAAAAACAGTGAAATGATTATCACGGCACATAGATCTATAGATTGACGACTACTCCTACATACTGTACATGTATCTTGATCTAACTGAACAACCTCACACAAACAACATCACATCCCGCACCCAACTCTACCGGAACTGACGTTTTCCCTCGGGACAGCTACTGAGCTAGTAACTGCGTGGAACGCACTTTCGAAAATCACCCTTGACTTGGGGCTTGATGCTAGTTGCTAGACCTAGATCTACTTCATATTTGGAGGCCTTCAACTTCAAGGGAGCGCTTCCATTGCAACCCACTCCAGCAAAGCATAGAGTCAATGCCACTCAACATCCACCCCAGCACAGAGAGTCAATGATAATGCGTAATGACTCTACTTGCCCGTGATACCATATAAATCAATACATGGGGCAACGTATTAATTATCATCATTATACATCGCATTTTTACCCGATAAAATCAAAATATTCTAAAGACCTTATCAGAATGTAATCAGTGTGACCAAATATATCAAATCTTCCAGATAATTTGACATTTACAACACGTTATTTTAAAAGAAGAAGCAGTTATTTTGCTTACCACAGGCCTAGCAGACGTCAGCTTCGCGATAACGCCCTTCTGCTTTGATCAAAATTTACGCTCGCGCCTAATATATGCAAAGGGCGTAGAGGGCTTACGCCCTTCTGCTTAGCGCGATATCTGACAGTTTGTGCTAACGCCCTTTTACTATTGTCGATTACGTAATCATTTACTTCGTTTTATGCCATCTCGATCACATCATTTGAAAGAGCTTTGAAAACTCTATTAAATGACATGAAATATCAAAAATCGATTTTTGACCTGAAATTCGAGCTAACGCCCTTCTGCCAGCCGTGCGACGATATATTTTGGTGAATATGTTTCGAATAAATGTTGACATCTTTCTTGAAGGAGCTAACATTCTTCAATTATCTCAGTGAATACTCACTTCCTCTAATGTTATCTATTCTGTTTGTCTTATGACCAGTAAAACAAAATGTAGATGTTTTGTCCCCCTCTTTCTCTCCTCCTCCACCCCTCCTCCTCCTTCTCCTCCTCCTCCTCCTCCTTCTTCTTATTTCACTTCTTCTTCTTCTTCTTCTTCTTCTTCTTCTTCTTCTTCTTCTTCTTCTTCTTCTTCTTCTTCTTCTTCTTCTTCTTCTTCTTCTTCTTCTTCTTCCTCATCATCTTCTTCTTCTTCTTCTTCTTCTTCTTCTTCTTCTTCTTCTTCTTCTTCTTCTTCTTCTTTCTTCTTCTTCTTCTTCCTCGTCATCTTCTTCTTCTTCTTCTTCTGCTCCTGTTCTCTTCTGCTTTCTTCATAATAGGCCTATAGACCTACGCCTCCTATTAATATCTTCAACAGATCGTGGAAACTATGATTGAAAGTGAACGTGTCTAATGTCAGTGGTGGCAAATAGAGAGTGACCGTGAAAAGGGGATGGGGTATAGTTTAGTAGGGATGGAGAGAGTAAAGTGAAGACAAGAGAAAAATAAAGGAAGCAAATTAATATAGAGAGAGAAGGTAAGGAAAGGAAAGAAAAGAAAAGAAAGAAAAAAGACGAGCATACCAACAGACAATAGGCTCAGGCCATCAAAAGGGCTCTGGCTGAGATTTATCACAACAAAGCAGCTTATTTGCATCAGTACATGTGAATGATGAAGGAAGAAAACATAATCATACCAACAAACAAATATGTTAATATTACGCTGACTCTTTTGCATTTATACAATGCAGTTCAAGTTTTATTTCAAAATGATAGGCAAGCCGCATACATATTGTCTAGATGGAAAAGTTTACAAATAAGGATTATCTCATGGCAATTATAGGCACTTTGTCTTTGAGAAAATAAAAAGTCCGATGCTAGCAGAAGTGGGTACAGGATAATTGGTGCTATGAATTGAATTCAATTGTGCTTGTTCTGCTGCAACATACAATTAAAATTACATTTCAGCAATAAAACATATACAAAATATAACAATTGTTGTGTTTCAGTTTCAGGGTATCAGTGTACCCCATATGATAATTAGAAATGTTGACATTAAACAAAAGGTAACTGATAACACACTACCAAAGTTGTTAATTACAAGCATCTGCAGAAGGACATTGTAAGAATGTATGATATTCTAACAAAATTGATATATGAAATCAAAAGTTTGCTTCCGCATTTACATATTTCATTATTAGTCCCTTATTATTCACCTTTATGGAGGGGGAGACGAGGGAGGGGGTCGAAAGGTGAGAGGGAAGAGGGGGAAGAGGTAAAATGCTTCTTGTGACTTTTCTTTTAATTTTGTGTTTTAATTTTTTTTAGGATACCATTGCATCATTGGAGCCATAAGCCAAATTGATCGGCTAATTCACTTATATTACGTTGCCAAATATCTTTAAAATGGAGTGGAGAGGCATTCTTGCCTTATTTTTCTTTCTTTTCAGCTGTCTTCAAACAGTAAGAAGTGATGCAGAAAGTATAACTGAACAGTTTGACGTTAGACCTGGAGGGGAATCCCATAAAGCTGAAAAAGCTCTTGTAAGTAAATCGCGATATGGAATGGATTGCCCCACCCACTCTGATCTGTGTTATGTTTCAAATTAGACTGTTTACTGCCGCTAGCGCGCTCTTGGTAGGCGCGGTCTAGTACTAGCGCGGTCAATACGCTTTAGCATTGACTCTCTTAGACAGCAATAACCATCTGATTTGGGTCATTTCTTTAATAAAACTGACATTTGTTGTCATTCCCCAATACAGATGGCAACCCAGAGATCTCGTACCGTGGGGGTAAATTAGAGCCACAGCGTAACAGCTTTTCGTTACCGACATTTCTCCCCCGATTTTCTTTATTTAGATCTAATTTCCTGATTTCTAAATCAGATGTAAATTAGGTCGGTCTATATATCTCCTAATTACAGTTTTCAAAATTTGCTAACCTATTATAGAATGTGAAATTTTCGGACTTACTTATATGAATTATCCAATTTGTTCCTCAGAACCGCGAAGCACTTACGAGTTACGTTCATGCATTCGAAATATTACCCGGCGGCCGATATATTTCCGGGTCCACCTACCAAAACATAGCCAATGGCCAATCAGAGCACTCGTTTTGTGGGAGTTCGTTGGTCAAGCCGGGCCGACTCGTATGTAGCTACGGTAGCTATTGGACGTTCGAAAAGAAAAAATTAATATTCATCAACTAAAACCAAGACGGATAATGTTGACGACGAGACTTTCTCGGATTAATCATTAATGTAGTGATTCAGCCTGAGCCACTACGGCTCTGGCGGCATATGCGCGTAAGTCCCGCATTAGGCGACACCCGCGGTAGTTTCCGCGGGCGTGCTTATCACTGGGAACGTTAGATTGAACCTGAGACTGCACGCGACAAACACTGTTGATTGCCCGTCTCTTCTGTCTCTTCGGTCTACTACTACTAGCGACGGTGGAGCTCCACTCAACGAGCAACACTTCAAGCGCTTCTTGAGACAGACTTCAACTTAGCAGTATAGTATACAGCCTATGGTAGGATAAATCCTTATTATAGTCGTTCATGGAATTATAGTTAAGATTTAGGCCCAGTAAGTTATATTCCGCTCCGTCACTACAATGGCGTAATCGCTCTTTTTCGGACCTGTAGGGGCTAGTTTTTTTTATCGCGCACGTTTTTGAGCCGCCATCTTGTCGGCGTTCACTCGTGTGTTGAAGGGATTTTCTATTTTCGTAATTTCATTCGTAGGGCCTTGTAAGCTTGTTTATTCCCTATTGGTAGTTGATTAGTGCTGTAGATTAGTATTTTAGGGACTCGTAGAGTATTTTCAGTGCTGTATTCCGATTTTTGGGTACTCATTTCGGTGTTTTGGGGATAATTTTTTGTGGTCGCACACATGTCCGAGCCGCCATCTTGGATACGTTGACTCGTGTGTTGAAGGGATTTTTTATTTTTGGAACTTTTTTCGTAGGGCCTTATAAGCTCATATTTTTTCGTTTCTTGTCTACTTAGGGTTGTAGGATAGTTTTTTAGGGACTCGTTGGTATTTTTGCGGCCGTATTTCGATTTTGACATCGGTTTCGGTCAGTTTTTGTACTTAAATTTGCTCGTTTTTTTTTCTACTCACTAGACTAGTTGTACAGCCGTTTTTTGTCGTGCTCGTAGTTTTGATCCTCTCGCCAGAGTTTTATACTGTGGAGATAATTCCACGGTGTTCTTTTTCGGTGAGGTATAGGGTCGGTTAAGTAGAACTTAGTAAGTAGGGGTAGGCTCTATTTAGACTAGTTTCAACCCTCTTGCCGAAGTATTATTACCGTGGAGATAATTCCACGGTGTTTTTTCGGTGAGGTATACTATGGGTATAGGGTTGTTTAAGTAGGAGTAGAATTAGTGAGTAGGAGTAGAATTAATTTAGTTTCAACCCTCTCGCCGAGGTATTATTACCGTGGAGATAATTCCGCAGTGTTTTTTCGGTGAGGTATACTATGGGTATAGGGTTGTTTAAGTAGGAATTTTTTAGTAAGAAACTAAGTAAGATTATGAAAGAAACTAAGTAAGATTTTGGAAAGAAACTAAGTAAGTTCTTACTTTTTAAGTAGGCAATAGGTCTTTCCTGTAAGAAACTAAGTAAGAAACTAAGTAAGTAAGCAAGTATTTTCCTTTAAGAAACTACGTAGTCTAAGCAAGAAGTATTTTCCTTGAAGGAACTACGTACGTTAGTAAGTAAGCAAGAAGGAAGGATTGGGTAGGTACCTAAGTGGGATTTTTGACTGTCAGTCTTGTTTTGGATATCTGTGGATTTTGGGTTAAATCGTGGGTGGTATTTAATTTCATCTTCATTTCATCATTACTAATATTGTACAGCCATCTCGCCGAGCATTATACCGTGGAGATAGTTCCGCGGTGTTTTTCGGTGAGGTATATTGCCGGTTTAAGTGTAGTCCTTTAGTGTTACTTAGGAGGGTTTAGTTTTGGCCCTCTCGCTGAAGCTGTTCACCGTGGAGATAATTCCGCGGTGTTTTTTCGGTGAGGTTTAGGGTTTCAGTATTTACCTGTCAAGCACTTAGTAAGGTATTAGGAAACTAAGTAGGGTATTATTAAGTAAGCAAGAAGGAAAGAGTGTTTGTGTATTTAATTTTATCATTTGGCTATTTAATCGTTGCTGATTTAAAGCCGGTTATGGCCTCAGAGAAGGTTAAAGTGAATTATGGGACTGAGGAGGCTTTACTGGCCGTTGTCGATAAAACAAAGTCTGGCAAAATTATTAGTTGGAGGGAGCAATGTGGTAACTTAACAGAGGAATTATTTTTGCAGTGTCCCCGTCTCCATGAAGCCAAGGAGCTTTTACGTTTATTTGATTTTGAGCCTTATCAGGCTAAGATAGTTAAACCTACAGATGGAGGCCCAGCTGGGCCTGTAGCTAGTTCTACGGCTGAGCAACAGCAGGGGAGGAGCTCGCCGCAACCGGCCAGCTCCCCAGCCGAGCCCACAGCCGAGTATCGGCTTAGGGCCGTTGACTGTCCGCCGTCCCGGGAATCCCCGCCCGACAGGTCTTATCCTCCTAGGGAATCCCCGTCCAGAGAACCCCCACGTAGGGATTATTGTTATCCCTCTTCTAGGGATTTCCCTCCTAATAATCATGGTCCATCTTCCAGGGAACCCCCCCGTAGGGATTATTATTATCCCCCGTCTAGAGAATCCCCTTCTAGTAATTGTGGTCCGCTTTCCAGGGAACCCCCACGTAGGGATTATGTATATCCCCCTTCTGGGGAATCCCGACCTGACATTCAGTATCCTCCCAGGGAATCCTCACCTGTGGGTCAGGGAGAGTACAGGTCGCAGGGGCGCCGGGATTGGCCCCCCCGTCTGCCGAGGTCACTTAATTACGATGGGCGAACAAGTTGGCATTCCTTTCTCAGGAAGTTCACCAGTTATGCTGTATCGTGTCAGTGGAGTCCAAGCGAGTGTTTGGATGCGCTAGGCTGGTGTTTGGAGGGGTCGGCCTCAGATTGTTTTTCGAACCTTAGGGATATGGGCACTAATTCTTATTACCATATGTTAACAGCGATGGGGCGTCGGTTTGGGGCTACCCGATTTCCGGAGGAGGCCATAGCCGAATTTCGAACGGCTCGCCAACTCCCGGAGGAGTCTCTTCTTGGGTGGTCCGATCGGCTCCAAGCTTTGTCCTTTGAAGCTTTTGGGTGGGACCAACGGGGTGACAGCACTCAAATGGTATTGCAGTTATGCCAGGGTTGTACGGATAAGGCGGCGGGTTTAACAGCTCTCAATACGCGCCCGAAGTCCGTCGAGGAGGCCCTGGAAGCCATTAGGTGGGCGCAACATACCCAACGTGTTGTTTATGGGAGCGAGGCTCGCCGTACGTATTCGGCTTCTCGGCAGCAGGTGCAGCAGACTTGCATGTACGATCAGGAGGTGGACAGGTATGATACGGTAATTTATCATCATAGGCAACCCGATCCCCTTAATCGTTCCCCAACAGTTTCCAAAGGTCAAGATGTTCCCCGTCCGGCTCCTGTGGAGGACCGGGGGAAGGTCACAACGCCTTTTGAAGTTCAGGCCAGGAATGACATTGGCTATTTAAAAGAGGAAGTCGCCAGTCTTAAGACGCATGCGTACAATACCGATTGTATGCTAGAAGAAATACTGAAGACTGTTAAGTCTTTGGAGTTTTCTATGCTTTCCAATGCCCGCCCTCTATCTCTCGTGGCCACTGGTGTTCCGGAAAACCTGGAGGGATCGGAGAGCGAGGCCGATCTCCGATCTGGAAACCGAGAGGCCTACAATCGGTAAATACTGGGGTAGTTAATGTTAGTGACCCGCCTGACTCTTCGGTCGGTCCCTTGGACAAAGTAGTTAATGTTAGTGACCCGCCTGACTCTTCGGTCGGTCCCTTGGACAAGGTAGTTAATGTTAGTGACCCGCCTGACTCTTCGGTCGGTCCCTTTGTCAAGGTAAATAATGTTAGTGACCCGCCTGACTCTTCGGTCGGTCCCTTTGTCCAGGTAGTCGCTAGGACGGCCGTGGTGCCTCCTTCTAGTGGGAAGCGGGTAGGATGTAAGGTTGTTGGGAGTCCAGGGCTCCAGAGTAAGGACCTTTCCCTTTTCCAGCCCACCCACAGGCTCCCATTTTGGATTCCTCGGATCGTGTTTGATCGTGGGAAATAACATGTTAAGTATATATATTATGGTTCATTATCAAAGCCATTCACAACGGCTCGTCCGCGAGGACATGGTGCCGGTTCCTGTTCCTGGGAAATAACATGTTTGTCTTAAATATATATATTTAGTTCACTTTTGTTTACACTGTTTAATTTCATTGTAAATCGTCCATTCTGAGTTCCTGAACTTTAAGTGTTGATGTTTTTAAACTGAATAGATAACAATTAAATAAAACTGAAAAGTTTCTGCTTCGGTTAGCGGAGTTATCTATGCTGAATTAGCTGCTCCGCTTTAAGAGCTGACTAGGAAGTATTCTTTCCACAGGGAGACAGAGCACTCAGGTGTGTTCGAGGCCATAAAACGGCCGGCTTTTGATATCTCCCAAGTGACACTACGTGGTACTGGTTCCAATAATAAGTCAGAATATGATCATGTTTTGGGGGAGTAATTCCTCTGGAGTAATTCCTCTGGATCAACAAGAGCCTTTTGGATTTGCTTGAACTTGCCGGCAGTGGCTATTGTGCCCCCGGGTGCCGAGTGGCCCAGAGAATGTAATCTTATTTTGTTGGAAGTGTTTTCACCTTTTATATCATTTTCCATCTGATTTCAGTGATCTGCTTTTATCATTCTAATACTTCTTATATGCACCGTTTGGACTGCCTGTAGGGAGCCGTTTGGCTCTCATGTGGGACTACCCAGTTTCTGGACATTGTACCATCCAAACTGCACTTGGGGAATGGGGAGCCATTGGGCTCTTCCCCTTTTCTGCACACTTATTGCCATTCATCGTTTATGTTGATCACTCACACTTTCATGCTCGGTCACCTTGGGAATTTAATGTAATGCCCCCGTTAATCCCTTACGCCCGTGCCAGGACTGCTATTCTTTGTCATTTACACGTGACACCGGCACGGTAAGGGTTAACTGGTATATTTCTGTTTCTTTCTGTTCTTGATCCCTGGGACATTTCCGGGACTTGAATCCTATTTAGTACTTAAATATACCAAATTGTGGAATACAGTGCATTTTACATTTTACAGTGCATTTTACCTGTACTTTACATAATATTTCCCGTACCAAAGTTTGGAATACAGTACGTTATAAGGTATGATAAAGGCGCCCGCCCCCTGGAAAGACCAAGACTTCACCGGTGCTGGCAAGGAGGGTCCTTGACCCATCCACCAGCGGGAACGGCGTGACCCCGCACTGCGGTACGGGAGTAGTTTTAAGTTAGTTTTAGTTTAGTTTTAGTTAGAAGTAGGCTTCAAACTCATTAAGTGGGGAATAATGTAGTGATTCAGCCTGAGCCACTACGGCTCTGGCGGCATATGCGCGTAAGTCCCGCATTAGGCGACACCCGCGGTAGTTTCCGCGGGCGTGCTTATCACTGGGAACGTTAGATTGAACCTGAGACTGCACGCGACAAACACTGTTGATTGCCCGTCTCTTCTGTCTCTTCGGTCTACTACTACTAGCGACGGTGGAGCTCCACTCAACGAGCAACACTTCAAGCGCTTCTTGAGACAGACTTCAACTTAGCAGTATAGTATACAGCCTATGGTAGGATAAATCCTTATTATAGTCGTTCATGGAATTATAGTTAAGATTTAGGCCCAGTAAGTTATATTCCGCTCCGTCACTACATTAATTTAGGATCTAAATGAGCAAGCTATCGTAAGTCAAATAAGCTATATATATGTTATTTTTAATTAGACTCTAATTATTGTCATATTGCAGCATGTGTGAGGATGTAAAGAGTGAAAATCTCGTAGCATATCTCATTCATCGCGGTCCTGCCGAACCGAACCATTGGTTCCGTACAGTCCCGATAGGACAATCTTCAGTCTCTATAATCGGAGGTCTAGTGGAGCCAGACGTAGTCTCAGTGGAACAACCGACGATTAGAGAGACTGAAGTTTTCGGTCTATGACTCTCTATGCTTTGCTGGAGTGGGCGCGGCCGCGGCGTGGGCGTGGCCGTGTATTGGTGAGGGGGAGGAGGGTGATATTTCATACCTTTTTTTGAATATCTTATCATATCACCCCACAACGAAGTAAAATCTAAATTTAGATTCTATAAATGGAAAAGAAACTTGAAAGTTGAATGTGTTGCAAAAATTGGCGCTTGTTCAGAAACCTATCCAAAATTTGACCCGTAACTTCGGCGTGGAGATACCCTAGACCTACTAAAACATACCCCAAATGAAGTAAATATTCATTAAATTTCCAAATAAAGATCTCAAGTTAAAATGAGGATCTGAGACATTACGGTAGATAACTTCACACAGGCCTGCCTGCAACCCACCATCGGTATGCACTTGTATTGTGCAGCGGTTTGCTGTAAAACCTGTGAAAAAGTGTAGGCCTATACTAATATCAACGTTTATCAAAAAAATACTCCCAAAATAACAAGAAAATTGACACCAAACAGGTAATAAACATAACAAATTTTAACTCATGATCTTTATTTGGACATTTAATGAATATTTACTTCATTTTTGGTATGTTTTAGTAGGGTATTTCCACGCCGGAGTAACGGGTCAAATTTTGGATAGGTTTCTGAACAAGCGCCCAAAAATTAAAGGGAAATCCAACAGTAAAACTGGCACATTTTTTTCCATCAAAATGAAAGGCTATTTAAGGAGCCTCTTTTCTCTCAAAGGAGCATTAGTGATATGTAATCCATATTATATTTTTTGAAAGCAAATATCAAAATCTGCATTTGAAAAATATGAAGATAAATGTAACAGTAGTACACTTTTTATTTGTTTGTTTGTTGGGGCGTACATGCTGAAGAATGTTACATGCAACTTAGGCCCATCATTAATTAAGACTGTACTTTTAAAGTTAAGTAGCAAGATATGGAGGTCATTCAACTTGATATGACTATGAGACTTCCATGGTACTTTCATTGGAGAAGCTGATGATTTTAAAATGGCCTTATTTTTTCCATTTATCCTTCACCCCGTCTCTCTCTCTCTCTCTCTCTCTGCTGCAGGGTCCATTCAAGTGTACGTTTTTATACAAAGCACAAGGAGGAACAAATGAGGTAATGGTCATTTTTTTTAAAAACAATAACATTCATATTTTAAAATAAATATTTACTTTCTGCTTTTGACTTTTTCAAGCCTAATCAAAATTTAAAATTGCATTTACATTCAAAACAAAATTGTTTGGTTCCCTTAGTAGTTGGTGAGGAACAGTGCAGTCAACAGCAAAACATTATATCAACTAATACTCAAACCGTATGATGAACTATAAAATGAAGACGTATATAATTAAAATATATCACATATCTCCTTTTTATCTTTTTAACAAATTATGAGCATGTTTATGTATATGCTATCACTTCACTGATTGAATCTTTGCAAAATGTCATTGTTGTTGTTTTCTTAAGAAATGGGAGATGACGCTTGCAAAGGATGAGTTTGGAGCCCACTCCTGTACTGTTACTCGACCTGATGGACCGTCTTACATCTTCTTTCTGCAATTCAAGATGAAGGTTGCTGGAGCCAAACTTCAAGAAGTGGAAGCAATTGTAAGAACATTTGCATTCTTTTATTCAGATTTGTGTTAAAAATTCATCATTGACACTTGAGGTACTGTAATGTAAAAGTAGCTGTGCTATAATTATGCCCGTATTTTCAGAACTCACATTACAGGTCTACAAAGGAAGTTCTTTTGTCGATGAATTAGATGAAATATGATTCCTTGCCTTATTCCTTATTGCAGTTTAAAGGCTCAGAGTAGTGGGTTCTCATTGGGAATTTGACATCATTCAGTTGTTTACCGTACACCAATAAAAGGTATTGTCAATCACCAAGAGTAGACTTCACTTTCACGATCAACAGGTTGTGTTTAAAACACTGCCTCATTCTCATCATAATAGCATGTCCCTCATAGACCCTATAGATATTAAGGCAAGCTGGAATATTTTCTGCATTATAGTCTGAGACCTATGCACACATTAATCTCTCTCCTCTCTCTCTCTCTCTCTCTCTCTCTCTCTCTCTCTCTCTCTTTCTCTCCCTCCCTCCCTTCCTCCCTCCCATCCATTTCTGTCTCCCTCTCTTTCTCTCTTTGTGTAACACTCCTTCCCACAATCCACAGGGTGGACAGGAGCACCCTCTAGAACCAGAGGAGTATGTTGTCAGCAAACGTCACAACGAAGGTAAGAATCCCACAATTCCAACCCTTCTTTCACCAGCTTTCTGCTCAGTGATCAAGGATTGTATTTCAAAATATAACTTTCTCAAATGTCAATTATAATCTGTGCTAGAATGACCAACCATCATCACAGACTCTTTCAAAATACAACTAGTGATCAAGGATTATAGGTTGATGAAATATGCCTCTCAAAATGTTGATTATAATCTGTGCAAGAATGACCATTCGATCATCCCAGATTCTTTCAAAATACAAGTAGTACTCAGAAGTTGACTTGGTTGGTAGAGTGTTTGCTATTTGTTCATTCAACTTTACCTTGTGGATATGAATGTATCTTTTGGAAAAGTGCACATCCTTTGTTCTCAAAACACAGGACAGAAAACAGAAACTTAATCTGTCCCTCAGACAGGATGTGATCTGAAAGAAGTCCTATGTATAGAAGACCCATATCTTTTGTAACTCAAAATAAATTCTGCACTTTTCTTGAAGAGTATGGTGGTAGAAACCCCCCCCCCCAAAAAAAAACAAAAACAACAACAACAACAACAACAACAAAAACAAAAACGAACAAACAAACAAAAAACACCTCTTTGGTTATGGGTGATGCCTCTGTGATGTTAAGTTGAGTGGAAGAAACTATGTCTTCATCCATATTTCCTTTTCATAGGTTCATGCTTAAAGAGAGGAGGAGAGGGTTATTGTTTGTTTGATTTTCTCTGTCTGAGAAACTATCTCTTGTTTGATGTGTGGTGAGGCGATACCGCACAACACACAAAGATCATCTACTCTTCATATACGTGTATGGCATATCAACCGTTCAAAACTAGAAGAGAATGAACTCTGTCTTGTAATATATAAGTTAATGCCCTGCTGGCTTCAAACAGACAAAACATAGTATTCTATGATTGTCCAGAAAAAAGTAGAGATTTAAAAAACTTTTTTGGAGGGTCCTGTGTTCGTTCTTTTCTGTATTGATACAGTCTGCTGTAAATCCCAAACCATGCTATTAAATATTAAAAACGGTGCTTATAAAACACCGAAGACTCTAAGCACTATAACAAACAAAATACAATGATAAACAATTACATATTAAGCAAAACAACAAATTACAAATAAATCTACAAATTACAATACATATGAAATATACATCAATGTGAAAAGAGTAGGGTAAGTTAATCATCAAAAGCAATATTAAATAAATGTGTCTTAAGACAAGTTTTGAATTGGTTGACAGTCTGACAGTTTTTTACACGTAATGTTAGTTTGTTCCAAAGTTCAACAGTTTCCTATCTATTATCAGCCATGCATGTATTTAGTAAGGGATGTCTGTAGTCTTACCCATCTTGTGACTCTGTCATCTGCTCATTCTTCTTTATTCCAGTTCACAGCAAAAAGGATATATTCAAATCGACTCTCAAGAGACTGACGGTGTATGCAGAGCAACATAAAAATGAATTGTAACGATGGTATTTCTCTTCATTCTTATTTTCAAATTATACAAAGGATATAAATTTATAAAGGGTAATTTCATTTTTACGATTTCCTATCAAATTTTCTATGCCTTACATTCTTTTATTAAAAATTGTTCCAAGTATGGTAGCCATTCCTCGTATCCTTCAGTTTTTTTTTGTTATAATCTTAGGCTTGATGATTTTAAGCTTGCCCAAAATCAGAGTGATGGGTTTCCTATTTTATGGGTAAATTTGAATAAATGAATAAAATTTATACGCTGCATTAACATATATGTTAGAAATAATGAAGATGTACTCAGCCATACCTTTTATTTCTTTTCATGGTTATGATATGTCTAGGAGTTTGTGATTGAGTTTTATGCTATGCTATGTCTTACACAACTTGGGATTAAACTCATGGGAAATGTGTCATAAAGAAAAATTTCATCAGTAGAGTGGGTTGACTTCCTTCACCCTTACAAAATACACAATACATATTTTGAAGGTGATTTGTACCAACTACAGATTCATTTTTTGCATGGGTTACATGCTCTTAAAGTAAAGTGATAACAACTGCTCTACCATTACACAATCTTAATCCCTGTCTCAAATTCATATAAGATTTTGACAGATAATTCCACAAGTAGTGATACCTGTGTATGACGGTTCAGTGTTGAAAAGTTTTAAACTGCCAGGTATATTCCAATGGTATTGATTTCATCACTTAAAACTTAATGAGAACACATTTAAAATGACTTCATGAACGACATTTGGGCAATTCCACGGTAACGGAAGGACACTCAGACAAGATTTTTGAACTTCAGGTTCATACTAAAAGAACTGTTTTATTAGTATAAGATGTGAAACAGTACAGATATAATACCTATATAAGTGCCTTTAATTCTCCCAAAAAAAATTGTCATTATAGTTAAGTAGTTTAAGAATGTGCATATTAATTATCTCGGTAACGGAAGGACATAAAAATGGACATGGTTTTTCCAGTTAATTAGTGTTTATCCAAACTTTGTGAAGTTGATGAAGCTTTCCACTTGTCTGAAACACATTTTGTTCCCCATAGTTTAATACATACTAATAAAACATTTCTTTTAGTATGAACCTGAAGTTCAAAAATCTTGTCTGAGTGTCCTTCCGTTACCGTGGAATTGCCCATTTCTCTTTCACCTACTTCTAAATGTCTAGTTGTCTTTACTTTATTATCTTTACCATGTTTGCGTACTGTCACAATCTTGATTCAGGTTATGTATAATGTTGATGAACGTGCAGATTAATCCATATGTCACATCATTCATTGATATATATGTATATGGATAATCTCTAATGACACTGAAATATATTTTTCTATAACTTAGGATTGTATTGTACATGTACATGTATTTCTGTTCCTTGTTGATATATTTTCTGCATGGGATGATGTAGACTGAAAGTGTAAAATAAGAGGGCCTTCGAGCGGAGCCCTTTAGCATTCATCTACTTTCATTCATAGCTTACTTAGAATTCATACATCATGGCATTGATGCCAAGTTGCAGATGATTTCAAACTATTTAAAGCCACATGGTACTACTTGTAGCTACTTGCTCCCTCTATATAGAAAACAATGCCTAATAGGTGACCATTGGTCCCCCATGGTCCTCTTTTTCTTATGTTAATTGAGAGCTGATTTGATGAGATAACCACTTGTCCAGTGACCTTGCAGTGTGGTCTAATCCCTCCTATAAAATAGTACAGATAAGCTTTTTTTTCAAATGCTCAGAGAAATTACACATTAAAAAAGTAAGAACATGAATGATTAAAAAGAAATATATAAAATAGGATTAATATCTCAGAATAAATTCTAAACATTTACAGTACTTTCAAACCCAATCTTGTAATAGAAAGCAAATATAAGTTTGTGCCAATACAGGAATGTCTGATTTTAATAGTGCTTAGAGACTTTGGGTAGTAAGCACTTTATAAGCATCGTTTTTATTATTATGAACAATCCATTATTATTATTTAAAGAGAAGCCTCATTGCTACATGATGAGAAGTCACTCTGAGAGAGAGAGAGAGAGAGAGAGAGAGAGTTTATCACTAACAGAAGAGCGCCCTCATAAGTCATAACTATGCCAGACCTGTAGTGAGGAGATTTCTTGACTCCTCCAGATTTAGGGTTCTCTTTCAGGCAGCCCGTAGCTAGTTGATTTACAGCGAGTTGTGACAGGGGAAGTCTCTTCTGATTGGACAGTCATTTCAAGGAGTTACAAATAGTTCCCTACCACAGAGATTATGAGGGAGGGGACTGTTCAGAGCTCCATGATTTAACCTCTGATCGTACTAATCAGCATGTCACAACTATTTCTCTCAATATACTATGAGGCAGCCCTGGTTGCCAGATAGAGCCAAACATTAATTTATAGGGTTTGGGTTGTGGAGTTCTTCAAAGCTAATTCATTGCTTTTGTGTTGGTTACATTTCACATATAACCAAATCTGGACATATCTCATTTTATATACATCTGTATCACAATTGAACTGTACTTTTCAACAAAAGGTCACATATAGAAATAGAAATATCTGCGAGAGCTGTATTAATTTTTTTGTAAAATTGTGTACAAACACATTCCTATTTGTACTAATTGAAACTATGTTTTTTTGTTTTTGTTTTCTTAATTGCATTGTAATATATTCAGGCTTTGTTCTCACACCTTATGAAAGTTTAGTTTATTCAAAGGAAAAGTGCCTTATTTTTAATAGTTATGAATGGAAACAAATCAGAGTCATATGTCCACTTACTGTGTAATGTGGGTTGTTTCTTTTTGTTGTTATTTAGAAGACTTGTTTGTAAAAACGTATTTCATGTTAAATAAAGGGTGAATAAGGGTGCATAAAAAGAGGGTGGAATTTGGGATGGATGACGTCACGTGGGAGAAGTATGAAATAGAAGATAGTTTATTTGTATAACACATCCGATAAACAAAAATATTTTTCCTTTTCAACATTTGAAGAATATTAGGTATGTGTGATTGTACATGTATTAGACAAATACTTTAGCTTCACAATGATGACAGAAAAACACATTTTGAGCATGTGGCGTCATACTTCTGTTCCGTGTTGTTTTGTGTGGGGTATGTATATTTCATTATTATATGAGAATTTGATTATAGAAGCAATAAAATTATCAAATCATGTTAAACAAATATAATTTCGCTGCTAAGTGCTTTGCTCATTTCTCCCGTCGTACTTCCCGAACCGATTTAATTTCTTCCTTTGTTGACATGTTCTCTAAGTTGCGCATATGAGATGGAGGGAGTGAGGGAAGAAGGATGATGAGAGACCGAGAGGGAGAGAAAGATGTGAAGAAAGAGATTAAGGAAGATAGAGAGAAGGGAGGTGGAAAGAGAGAGAGAGAGAGAGAGAATTAGAGTTGAAGAGAGGGGTGGGGAGAATGAGGGAGGAAAAGAGAGGGAAGGTGAGAAACATTTCAAATGATTCCCATCGGTAGGATCATAGGATGATAAGAATTGGGGAAGGTGCACATAAAGAGGATATATGAAAAGGTTCTTTTTTGGTATGATTTAGTTTTGATGTTTTTGCTGTGCTAAATCGCGTCTTTCTTTTTTCAAGACATATAAAGAGTATATAGATATCAACATCGTACAAGTCATACGAGAGCGTGAATGGGCCGTTAGGAAAGGAACAAAATAGAAAGAAAGAAAGACAAATGAATCTAGCATGTGGAGAAAAAAGGGCATTTGTCTTTGACGCTTTTATTTTGAACGAAAAGTGGGCAGGGTGGAGTGAACTCTTAAAGTTCCAACCGTTCTTTATACTACTTTTGATATTGTAAAATATGACACATTAATGCTTTGAAAAAGGAAATTTCCCATCCGGTGTTTTTGTAGTCTAATTTAGGCCAGCGCTTAGATAAAAATGTATCGCAGAGTACAAGTCAACTAACATTGGCAATGGCATAGCTTGGGTCAAGTATTTTAGGGGGCTGTGCGCCATGTTGTTGTTATTTGGTATTATCGGCGTTTCGTTCTTTTTTAGAATATTTACATGGGATTGGGGCACTGGCCTTAATATGAGAATAAAATGCCAGAGAAAACGGTGAGAGAATTGCTTTTCTTACTTTAACGGTCACCCTCCTCCCTTTGTTTCTTCCTCTACCTCTATTCTTCCCCTCACCCTTTCTTTTTAGCTTATTAGATGGGGACAGGTACCCCATGCGCCAACAGAGAGAAAAAGAGAGACAAAGAGAGAGAGAGAGAGAGAGAGAGAGAGAGAGAGAGGAGAGAGAGAGAGAGACCACTGGTCTTTACCGTAACAACGGCTTCTATTTTACACGCAAAAAATGAACATATCATTAAATATATATTTACAGCGTTAGGTAGGAAGGATTCAAAATTCCCTGAAATGCACAAGGCTTGTGTAACATTCTAATTGAATAAATCTGACATCGAGAACATACAAAACCCGAAGTATTTTTTTGAAAAGGGGGACCATATTAACACTAAGTAAGGACGTTCAATGAAACACCATGCACAATTGATGAAAAAGAACAACCTTTTTTTAAAGCGTAAAGTGGTACTTTTGTATTCATTTTAATGAGCACTTTCCACCACTTTAGAAATACCATTTGATTAAGCACTTAAAACCCCCACCCCACCCCCTCCATTGTTTCCCCGCCAATGTTGTACCGACGTATGTTGTTACTTTACCGTCGCATTCATCTCGCGATTGATCTGTCCATTTTGATATCGAATGTGAAGATGAGAAATTGTACCTTCGCTCTTTAACAGCATTGTTGTTTGTTATGGGCTGAGGATTACAAATGCACCTGACATTTTTACGCCAATCATCATAAATCATGAACACGGATGTAGAACTCATTCCCACTCAAAACTCATTGATCAAGTTGTTTTGAACGCAATAACAACGAATGCTTGTGGGTCTTTTTTTAGTATAGTATGCTTTTAAATTTAAAACAACGGATACCTCGCTTCTTTTTTTGTAAATATTTGTTCACATAGAAAATGTATAGCTTAGTTGCCAACTCGTTATTTTGTCTGCCATTTATTTCATTTGTTTCCTTTTTTATTTCAATTTATTCATTAAAGGTAGTCATTTCACTTGCATATCTTTGTTAGTGGCATTTCCTAATTTCGCGATCTTGTCGAATGGATAAACGGTACAAAGAAATAGAAAGAAAACAAAAAGAAAGAAATGAGGAAATATGGAAAATAAATGGTGGAAAAACATGAATATTTGTGTATGTGATGATCAAAACAAATGGAGGAAATAAAATGATACATACTGTATGTGAAGTTTGATAACGACCTTTGCCCGGATAGTTCATTCATTGACGAGTTTTATAGGACTTGTGCTAGACCGCCATAAGGAATTAATGCCAGCTTGTGGCACATCCCGAAGTAAATGTTAAATGACAAACGTTTTAACTGTTTTTCGCCCTTTTAACCTGAGTAATATTAAGGGGTTCGTGCGATTTTGGTTACGCTTTGAAACACGAGTTTGAATTGCTGCTGTTTTCGTCCCCAAACATTGCGCGTTCCCTCAGAAGAATTGTCTAATCCTGGCGTCTCCTACAAAAACGCGAACTTGAGGGCAGTCACCGTGGTGCTCCTTCGATAAGATTCGTAATTTTGCGAACGACTTGAACACATCAATCAAATGTCTGAAGTGAGGTGCTTAATTTGAGCTACAAATTTGACTTTGGTGCGAACGATTTCCTGTTCTGAGGCACAAATTGATAAAAATCAAATGGAAATCCCGTCGACTGCCCGGTAGGTGAACGACCACTCTCTTCAGAAAACGAAGGAATGTACAAGTTTTCCAATTTTTTGTAATGATTTAAGTTCAAATTGAATGGCCCTAATGGTAAGAGGAACTCTTTCCCTTTTTGCCCTTTTTAGATTTCTTTCTGTCAATTTATTCTATCGCTTCATTTATCTATTTATTCATCTATCGTATTCCTATTATATACGGTAAACTACGTAAAATAAACTATAATCCATACAGTAAGTTTAATGTATATAGGCCTATCTACATGTTACACTTCAAATAAAAGAGGATATCTCCATGAGTGTTACTATGTTTCACGTCTATTTCAGGAATAGTGGGATTTTACGCTCTTTCTTTCCATCCATTTCTCCTCACATTAAAAAAAAATCTTTAGGATTTCGTCATTTTCAATTTAATCTTCGGTTTCTCACTTCTTACTCCTCTCTCTCACCTCTTCGGCTAAACAATTATTCTCCATGCTCCTTTCAAATCTTAATCATGGTAGAGCGCCATTTTGACATTGATAAATGATACATCGCCTGTGGTTGACTTTAGATTTTCCATCTACACCCGCGGGTCTGAAGTCAAATTTGTAACTTTTCCTCATGATTTTGATATAAAACATGTATATTCACAGTTTTATCATTTTTTGCTATAAAACATGTATATTCACAGTTTTATCATTTTTTGCTCACACAGCTCGTCTATTTTAATCCGGTTAATTTCATAATTGGCTTTTAGGCATGATGATAAATATTTAGAGTGGATGGCATAACAAAATAAAACAAAACAAACACAAAACCCGGACAGGTACCGATTTTCCAGAACACATTTAATGTATAAAAGTATAAAACTTCGAAAGTCATGTATGCAACACGATTTAGTTCATATTTATTTCTTCTTCCCTTTTTCCTTTTTGTTGTTGTTATTACTGTTGGATGTCCATAGAGCTGTAGAAGAATACAGCATCATAATCTAATAATAAATAATAATAAAAACGGTGCTTATAAAGCGCTTACCAATATAGTCTCTAAGCGCTATAACAAACAAAATACAATGATAAACAATTACATATTAAACAAAACAAAAAATTACAAATAAATCTACAAATTACAATATTTATGAAACATACATCAATGTGAACAGAGTAAGTTAATCATCAAAAGCAATTTTGAATAAATGTGTCAGAAGACAAGTTTTGAATTGGTTGACAGTCTGACAGTTTTTGACATGTAAAGGTAATTAGTTTCAAAGTTCAGCAGAAGCTTTGCACAAAGAGTGAAGGTTAACTAAGAAAAAGGAAATATGAAATAAAAAATGCAAATGATTTTTTTTGCCTCCCTCTTATTCGCATCACCCCTCAGCCCCCCCCCCCCCCCCGTTCTTTGCTCTTTCTCTCTTCCTCTCTCTCTCTCTCTCTCTCTCTCTCTCTCTCTCTCTCTCTCCCTCTTTCTCCTTCTTTCTAACTCTCGTATATCTTTATCCCATGATATTTTCCAACGCAACGTCGTCGTGCTCAAACAGTATGTCCATTGCCCAATCATAGCTCGAATCAAAGCATGCAAAAATCAAATATACCGAGCCAGCAGCCCGCTTGGCGCCCACACGTGCGTAAGGTGGGTATCCTAAGGGAAACACTGCCGGGCCAGACGTCACTCTAAACTTCCCCCATACCTTTGTTTTTCAATCTTCCTCAGGCTAAATCCTGAATTTCTGAATTGTCACGCTTTTAGTAGTCAACTAGGTCAAACCCTATCCTTTTCCATATGTCCCCCTGACTATTCTTTCACTTCATAATTTCTGTGTGCATACAACGTATATGATACAGGTGGATGCACTTCTACTTTAGGTTTCTTTATATATTTTTACGTCAGTCGTGTAACTTTCATGTACATTAACAGGAGAAACCAATTTAGAGAAAAAGTGCTCGACGGATAAAAGTGTCTCTTAACCTTTCACGCGCTTTGTGGTGTATTAGATAAAAGCTATACATCTGAATTATATCTAGGGAACTAAATACGTATCGGACGGAAGGATATGTATGGCGATTGAAGAGGAGAAGAAAGAAAGAAGAAAGTGATACAGGGAGTCAGGAAGAAGATAAAATTCCAGCTTTTTTCAGAGCAAGAGAGAGAGAGAGAGAGAGAGAGAGAGAGTTTGAGGCCGGTCCCACGTCGATCTTCTGTGGAAAGTATGGAAAACGCACTAGGGATCGGTGTTTCCCCCCATTTATGCTAATGAGCCATCCGAGCATTTATTTCGTAGAATCCAATACTTTTTCCACATTGACTGATTCCCTTCGATTCAATTCAATTCAAACTTTATTTAACACTCTTCATGAAAACATTTAAAACATACAAATACAGAATGATAACAAAAAACAAACAAGATAGTGATACAAATTACAATGGCAATTAATGAGAGCTTTTGAGATAGGTAGAAAGGAGGGATTCGTTATGAAGCTGGCCTACCCCTAAAACACACACACATAGAGGGGAAAACGAAAAAAGAACAAAAAACTGAACAGAACAAAAAACATACTAAAACATACTATCATGTACAATCAGAGAAAAAACACTAGCAAGAGGGGGTAACAAATTTGCTCTATTATTGTGTTATCGTTTCTTTATGGGACCACCTCATCAGAAATACAAAGGCTATAATATTGTATATTTTAAAAAAATATAACAACAAAAATTGCGACGCTCCTGCTTGTGATTTGAGGTTACATGTAAGTCGGTGTCTGTTTGGCGAGGTAGGCGGAGATCTTCTCCCTAGATTTCACGAGATCACGATTGGCGCGAAGCTTGGGGTAGTCGGCCAGAGCATCGGGGTACATGTTGACCACATTCTGGATAAAGGTGAAATACACGAATTCCACCATGGTGGCCTGAAAATGGAGAATAACAGAAATGATTATCATGTACACGCAGCTAAACAGCTGCAAAAGCATATATTCGTAGTTTTATACATGATACATAAAACATCCAACACTCAATAATTAATAACAATGATTTTAATTGCTACATTGATAGGTAGTGTTATGTATTAAATGCTCCTTTTCTTGTAAAAAGCTTTGCTTATTTTCTTGAGACAGCTACAAATTGTCATGTATTCTTAAAGTTGCCTATCTTTGCAAAACATTTTGTGATTTTAATGAAATAGAGATAAGACCTTTAAACAAAATGTCAATTGCTTTTAATTAAGTTTTAATGTCATGTTGGATATTAAACCGTGCAAAATATCAACAACAACAAAAAAACCACACAAAAAAACAATAAAATGAAATCAAAAGCACTCTGGTTTTGTGTCAGCGCACCTTAATGGACCTAAACCTATACTTTGAAAGCTCCAGAAGAAAATCCATGTAACTGTAATCAGTCTTAATAATTATATAGAGCTGCCGATACCTTACGCCCTTCACCTTTCGTATAGGATTCGCCCCCCCCCCCCCCCCCCATTTATGAATGTCTAATACGCTATTGAAACGGTGTGTTCGCTCTTACGTCTTGACCGACGAAGTAGCCATTTCCATTTGGGTTGTCTTCAAGCGCCTTCTCTAAGAACTTGAGAAGGATCGGGTTTACTGTCTTGGGAAGGCTCTCTTTCAGTTTATCCTTTAGAGGTATAAGAAGAAAGAACACGAATAAGATGTTACGTTGATCACTAAATTAATGATCAAACAGATAACGATCAAATAGAGAAAGTAACAAAAGACTTTTTCTTAAGATATTAAATGAAAGTAAAGATAAGTAATGATTGGATTCAATTCCGATAATGGATGATCAAGTTATTACGGAAGAGATTAGGATCCTTTTTTATATTTTGTTTATCGTTCCACTGGTCCTAGATTCATCTGATTAATATTATGGCTATGAATCATTAATGTGACCTATCAGGCAATTCCTTTCTACCGTCATCGTCGTCGAAACAGGGACTGAACTCTCCACGTGACAATACTCCGCAACAACTATTGCACATACCTATAGGCAGCGAACTAACGTCGACCAACAACCAAATCTAACTACGACTATCGTAAACTACGACCTAAGACTATTCACATGTTGATTGAATTACCTTATAAGCTTGATCAAAGTCGGAAAAGACGATATTAAACACGTTAGCGACTAGGTCTTCTAGGGCCTCACAAAGGACATCAATTTGATAAGCTTCTTCTTCTGTTTTGCCATTGTAACCTAAAAGCAGGGAAACATTATGAGAAGGAGCTTTAACAAATTGACGCAAGATAATTATGGGCTTATACTGATCTCTTTTATGTCTCGAATTCGGTTCTACGTCCAATGAAACTAAATCGTAGGAGGACGTTATGTATTTAGGTTAATTTTTCGATCATAGTGTACTGGTAACAAAATTGTATTCATGTATAGTAAACATTTTTCACGTTTTTAATTCGGGGTAGAGGTCGACGTTTCGAATGCAATGATAGGTCTGCCGAAAATGTTCTAAGAAGCGAAATTACCTAAGTTTCTTAATAACAATGATAGATTTGCCGACATGAATTTAAATGTATAGCTTTGACATTCACAAACGACACACATGAAGAGGTTCTACAAGCGTAGCTCACTATCCGGACCGTCCATGGTACTAACCATATTTTCTTGCCAGGTGACGCATGATTGCCCGACTTTGCACCATCGTTTTCCCGTCAGCCTCGAGGATCGGGATTTGGTTTAGCGGAAATTCTACGGAAGTAAAAAAAAAAAAAAAAAACAGAGAAAGAAAAATAAAAGCAGTCAGAATTTTATCGATTTTTCACTATAGCTGAATTAGCGATGTATCACTATTTTCCAAGCACTGCCGTCGGGAGATGCTTATCCACCTTATATACCATCACTTCTTGTGTCAACAGAAAATGATATATATTGTTTTATCTTAAAATGGTGCTTCTGAAGGAATGTTATCCTGATGTTTAACATTATGCAGGAGTTGTTGAAATAAAAATGCGATAACAAACGTTGCCAAAAGAAAGGAATTCATGTTGATTTGATAAAGAGTACATAGTAATGTTGACCAAGGTTGAAATGAATTGACAATAATGGGACCATCTTAGAAATGTTCACTTCGAACGCATATCCGTGCTCCAACAGTTACCGTATCCCTAGCATCATCCTGCATCGTAGCTGGGCCTAAGTATGGATGAGTAGGGAGGATAATTATATAGATATAACATAAATAATCAACTCTAAGCTTTCTTTACCTCCTGATTCCTTTCTTTCGAACCATTCTTTTTCTGAGAACCTTCGATCTTCAAACTCGATTCCAGCGTCGGTGAGCAGGAGTCTGATAGGTTCAGCTCGTCCTCTCGTAGTAAAATATGTCAATCTATACTTTGGGTTATCTGCCATGATAATGTAGGTCTTACAGACGTCAGCCTGTATTTGTTCTTCCTTGTCTTGAGTTTGTCCTTGAAGTTCAACGCTTAACTGATCCTTGTCAATGTTTCATAATATGTGGTGTCTGATTGAAGTGTTTGTACAGTGGGTTGGGTTTAAAGTCCATAGACATGAAGGTCACATGCTTATTCATAATTTACACTCATCAGGATTGTTCTCTTAAAACACAATTATATCAGATATTGAGATGGTCAAAGATAAAGAGAGGAAGCAATGCTAGCTGTTGCAGTTTATACAAGGTGACGAATGTTATTATCTTATAAACTTAAACATTGAGATAGCAATCACGCTACCCCCTCCCCCTTCTCTCTTTCTCTCTCTCTCTCGCTCTCTCTCCCATCCATTTATTCATATTGTGTGGGTGTGTGTATTGTTGAAGACACTTTAGATTTTTCACATACAGTGAGAGTGAGATACAGACATACAGAAAGACAGAGAACATTCTTGTCCTTTCTTGCTCAGCTTTCTTCATTCCTTTTCTCATTCTACTTTGCTGTCTTGTCTTCCATAGCGTAGGTCTATACTTTTGTCAGAATATATTCAACTGTTTGTTAATCTAATTGATGTTTTTTTTTTGTGCACATTTATGTATTCTTATGTTATTCATTGTTATCTCCTGCCAGTGGAGGCCAAATGTCTGTGTTTTTTAACGTGTACAATAAAATTGAATATGAATCTAAACGAGGCTATGAGCTTCTTAAAAAATACAGTAGATCGAGAGAACGCTTTTAAATTGTTTCGATTATTTTCTTTAAAGGAAACAATGTACGTATTTTCGCAAATGCTAGAAAATCGTAATTGCGTAAAATTGCTTTGGCCGTGGGCTGTATGCATCGACGAGTTTTGATATGAAAAGAAAGAACTTAATGATCTCTCGTCAGCAATTATGGAAAAAATCTTCCGATGTAAACACGAATTAGTAAAGACAGGAGCGAGATTGGTTTCCGTATTGACGCAGAGATAGGTAATTGGTTGAATAAAGTGATTGACTTTAATACATGCAAAGTTATTTTTAGATGATTTCTTACATTTTCTTTTTTTTAATGAAGTGATGTAGGGAGAAAAATCTGTCAAAATTGCATCATCATGTTATTGTATCAAACTTTGAATGAATATCAAGAAGCAAACAATTATATGGTTTACTCTACTGTGTTGTTACCTACATGTAAATGTGTACAGTTGGTTGCTTTATGTCATTTAGAAGGCATAGTGATTTGAGAGTAATAAAATGAAGGAAAAAATATCTTTCGAGAGCGTCGTTTACCTTCCCAATTAAACCTGTAAAATCATTTTTATTATTCACTGTAGATGATGGGTTAAAATCACTATTCCCTGGCAGTGTAATGTTCTCGTCTTACCGTCATGTATAGGCTCATTTCCATTTTAAATGCCTGTTGATTGTTCCAAGGTCTAGAATTGTATCACAAGATCAGACCACATGATATTGACCTTCCAATTTCTCTCTCAAAATTCAGAACACACAACAAAGACACCCATTAGGTATCCAAGTGGCAAAGGCCTGTATAAGGTAGAATATCATAATAAACAGAAACACGAGATAAAATTGACATTCATGGCATGGTCTATTTGAGAATGCCACGAGGTGAGTTTGAGAGGAGCGAAAGGAAGCCAGCAAATCAATAAAACATTTTTTTCCCTTCAAGTCAGCATTTCATCGTCTGAAATAGATTTTGTGATGGCAAAAAGGGTCTTGGTGGATGAAAATTCAGCGAAAGGTTTGGACATTGACTTTGAGATCATCAGTATCCAGGGGCTTGAGCTACCTATATTTTGAACAGAAAAAACAAAAATAATAAGACAAAAACTTTTGTTGTAATGATGGTACAGACGATACCATCGTGATGCAAGGGATAGAAGAAATGCGAGTTAATGCGAATGATGACCGAGGAATATCATTTATTCCCCTTTCATCGTCTACGTTATGCAACATCTGCATGTATATTATATTGAAACTCCCGCTACACCTTGATTCCCTTTCATTTATCTACTTCAATTTTTTTTAAATTTCTTTTCTTCTATCCTCAGTCGTGAATTTTCTTTTTCATGTGGTTATATTCTAGACGGTACCCCCACTTCTTTTATTCCCGTGAAGTCCCGTACCAACGGCAAGTCGGTTGAATGCAGGAGAAAAAAATCTAGTTTACCACACTACCTGCTGGGGCGGCTTCGGAATTATAGGGCATCGGACTTTAAAATATCTTAAAATCCCCCCTGCCCATCAAAAAAAAATTATTTTCATTTTCAGATGCGTTGACTGTCTTCAAAATATCTAACAAGCAACAACTAGAGAAAGAGAGAGAGAGAGAGAGAGAGAGAGAGAGAGAGAGACAGACAGACAGACAGACAGAGAGACAGACAGAGACAGATAGAGGGAGAAAGAGAGAGAGAGAGAGAGGGGGCGAGGGAGAGGGAGAGAGAACGTTGTTGCGGGCAATCATAGGGAAAAGTCACTCACCCCAGTCCCTTCCCTGTGCACCGCCCCCTAAAGCCGTCCCTGTCTGAATTGTATCATCTAGGGAATGTATGAAAGCGGATTCGATTCATTTTAACCAATATATGAAAGTAGATGTAATCCCGACTCAAGCCGATTCTCAGCTTACAACCCCTGCTATTTCTTCTCAATGAATGCCGATTGTGGTCTTCTCCAACACGAATCGCTCTTCTCCATCCTTCGTCACAATGGAACCCGAGATGAAAATAGGCCAGCCTATGAAAATGTAGACGGTGGGTAAACATTTTATGAGATTATTTACAAAACTGCACATGACTTGTGTTTTTGTCATATGTATCATGTCAACCGCGATGGGAGCGGGGGCGATTGCTTCTTGACTGTAATGCCCTTTATAACAAACTTTGCCAACACACGTTTGATAATAAAAGGCATTTCTATAGCTGCACAACGCGCTTTATTTTAAATACAGGAGAAAAATCCATAATTATTACGAGATATACATACTTTAATACGTCTAAGAGAACTTCAACAACGTGCCATACATTTATTGTTTTTATTGCGGTAATTACTGACAACATGGTAAATTCAATTACTAACTTTGAGGCACATCCATCTCTTCCAAAGACGAGTTTAAAATGAATCGAAAACAGAAAATGTGGCTGATACACGTTACTTTTAAGGTGAAAAGATGAATTTCATTCGGAATATTGCAATTACTACCACCACCACTACTATTACTACTGCTTCTACTACTACTACTAATACTACTACTACTACTACTACTACTACTACTACTACTACTACTACTACTACTACTATTACTACTACTACTAGTAGTACTACTACTACTACTACTACTACTACTACTACTACTACTACTACTACTACTACAACTACTACTACTACTTCTACTACTACTTATACTACTACTACTACTACTACTCTACTACTACTACTAATATACTGTTACTACTATTGCTATACTACTCTACTACTACTACTATGCATAGATACTACTCAAAGTGTATTATTGGATCTTGTCATAATCTTCTTCATCTTCTATTCTACTTTACGAAATCTCTCGGAACAGTCTGGGGTTGACTTGGATTCTCTAGCATTAAAACTATATACATATAGTGGATGCATTATCAATTGCTAAAACATCCAATTCCACGTACATTGATTGGGGAAAAGCACTTCAAATTTAATGATCACACGTTATTACTACAATTTTTCATAACTGTGACGTCAGAGTATGATATAATTCGTATATATTCTTCTTCTAAGTAATAAGTGCTTGTCCTTCATTTTATTCATTCATTTCTCTGCTCACTCGCGTCAAGGGATGCTCTCAAAACAAGAGTTGATTTCCATAGAGTCCACTTTGTTGAAGATCGTGTTGCACATTGCTCTAAATTCAACATGAGTTCATTCTCCCTCTTACGTTGCAAATGAAACAATAAATTTCATAAATTGTATTAACATCGAATAATTGTAAAACATCCAACTTTTTCCGTCGGATCGATGCAATTTTATGTAATATCATTATCTAAGGAAACATAAAAAGATCGATAGACAGTTACAAGATAGATTAGGTAGACAGACAGAGTCATGTAGATGAGTGAATAGGCAGAAAGATGGATGAATGGATAGATAGATCATGTAGATAGATAGATAGATAGATAGATAGATAGATAGATGGATGGATAGATAAATAGATAGGTAGATAAATAGATAGATGGATGGATAGATAGATAAATGGACGATGTCGGCTATTCTTTCTTTGAAAAATAGAAGGAACAAACATTGGAATAGTTTTCAGCGAACCAAAGGTTGAATCTGGAACTATTAAACACAGCAAATTTATTTTACGGAATACAGTACATTATACATCTATCCAACTTATACTATAACTGCATTTAATAAACGAAATGCAGCAGTAAAATATAACCAAATGAAAATGATAGAATTGACTTCGTACATTTAATTTAGTTGCACGCTCACTTCCAAATCGTGTCTGATCGTCGTAATAAGCATTTTTTTTTAATTTATCGTTTCGTTTGGAACCGAAAGGGCATTTATTAACCAATATCGTTTAAAACAGACCTAACGTCCTTTTGGCTCCAAACAGACAAGTTTTTTTTCTTTCTTGGTACTGCGGCCACTTCTCTCATTAAAATCAAAGCCGGAATAATGGAGAGAGGGATGATTTGAGTTGGTCTAGCGGTAAGTTCACTTGGTCAGCTCTCTGTCTTCGCCCGAAAGGTGTATCAGCAGACACCGGTTCGAAACTGAGTCTCGTCTTTCGGATGGTGACGTTGAAGGTCGCTCCCCAGACGTAAATAATCATATCTGATTGATACACGTCTGTAAAACATAATTACATACATGCATGATCAGGGTCAGATAGAATCTTTACTCTTATGAAGATGGATGGCCCTGATGTTACTATGAAGATCTTTCTCCAGAGATGCCTCAAATGTATTTGGAAAGTATTTCTTAGCATAACACT